CTACAGTTAATCTAGAAAAACAATATCTCTAGACACAAGTCGTACTACGGCTGTGGCCAAGTTAGTGCGTCTAGATTCAGTTCGAAATGATAAAGTTATCAAAAGAAAAACGTACTGCTACAGTTCAGTACCAGAAGGGAAAAAACAAAACAAGGCGATATTTCTATAGTAGTGGTGTGCACATTAAAATAAGAAAGTGGTTAGCCTAACGTAAACGGGAGAGTTCCTGCCCATCATTAAATATCGCTTTATACAGTAAACTGGAATATGTCTTGGCTCCCTTGGTATATCCAGAATTTACTTATCACATGAGAGTGGGAAGGAGCATAAGGGGTGAGTAAATTACACTATTGTTTTAAAGTAGAATTATGAAAGGTACATATCAAAAATCAAATTAAAAGAATACTACCACTACTACTACTTTTGAAATGAATCGGAAAGTACGTATTGTCTCTAACATAAGGTGTATTAATGCTGAAGTTAGAGAATGTATATCTATATTTACCTTAGAAAAAGGCTTTCTGTAGCTAATACATACAGCAGTAGGTTTTATAATAACAAAATACTTAGAGGAATTAAAAATGCCAAATATCACTATTTTCTAAATACTTCAAAGTGATAACAAAAAAGAGAATATATTTAGCACAGGTTAGAAATCAATCATTTGCATATCATCATATGTTTAATATACATATATATGCACTGAATATGGTGATTACAGTAGTATTATCGTCATGTAGAAGATTTTATCATTTTCAGTCATTCTTTAATTGTTACACATGATGTAGTTCTGAGGTCAACAGAAAAATGATATACAGAAACACAAACCTCCTAAAGGTAAAGAAAGACAGAACCACTCAAACTGCATGACCTTTCCCCTTTCCAATGAAGAAAGATAGAACCACTCAAACTACATGAACTTTCCCCTTTTCGATGAAGAAACAGAAGAGTTTATGAAAAACATAGACTGTATTCAAAAGTTTGTATAGCAAGGACTTTGTTATAACTATTAGACTAACACTAATGTCTCCCTTTCTTAATTATAAATATTAGACTAACTTTAATGTCTCCCTTTCTTAATTATAAATATTA